AGAGTTGAGTAATATTTCAATCCAACAACGTCGGAGATGATGATAAAAAGTACGGTCAATTGTATACCGTAAGAGGATCCGATCAACAACGAAGCAATGTAAACTAAACCCAGGAAGGGCAACGCGATCAACAGGTCTCCGATGCATGGTAACATGAGGGAAAATGTCATCATAAGAGTACGAGGTATTTTCCATTTCAAGACTAGTTTTTCTGAGACAAACCCTGAAAAAACCCTACCAAAAAAATTCCATATGCTTACTAGGGAAACAAATGTACTGACGGTATGAGTTGGATAGCCTAATGATTCACCAATTTGGCCTAAATTATCAAATGCAGTTAAACTGCAACATAATCCACAAATTGTAGCCTCAAAAAGAATTATCATGTCTATACTTAGTAGGGCTTGTAATATTGTGTAATCTTCACCCCTTTTCGGTTTTTTGCATATGTTTTCATACCATGAAGTTTCTTTCTTTTCTTCGACCATGGATTTTGGATATTCCACCAATTCGACGATTTTTGGCTCAATCTCTTCTACAGGTTTTGATTCTATCAAAGGTGGTTCCTCAACAAGAACCCCAGAAGGGGCTTTTCTATCTTCCTTTTTGTTCAATCTCCAAGTATAAAATTCTTTCCAGATCGCAATAAGGCACGGAAGGAAAAGCAAAGCACAAACGTCAGTGACACTTCCAATTAGGGCTTTATGAGAAAAAATAACATACTTTTGTGCTATTTTTAATCCCATTAAGACCAATGCCAAAGTAACTAATATATCAGATTCTCATATAAAACACGAATCTCATTTGGATGCCTAGAAATTTTCAGTATCCTAATGTTAAAGATAAAGAATATTGAAATCACTGCTGGGAGCCAACCAATGAGAAGAATTAAAGATTTACCATCATTTCCATATATAGCAAGATAAAGTTGGGTAAAAACTGCACCACTTAGTCCTACATAACCCTTCATTAAACCTAGTAACATACCTCGACCTTCTGGAAAGTTTTTCACACAAGTAACAACTAAACCCGTGTTTGCAAAATTCTACGAATTCACCCCAATGCATATATATAGACACATTTGCCAAAATTTGGGTGTTGATATTCTTCTAGTCACTGAAATCCATAACATTAAATAGCTTGCAAAATTCATGAGTGATCTGATCAAGAGCACAACCCACGTTGGTGTAACCTCGGGTATTAGGCCGGATAGAACTCCAACATTTGCTCCCAAATCTTTGCATGTGCTTAAAGTATTAGGGGTTGATTGATCATAGCCAAAGGTGGCGTTTTGAATAAACAGTACACCAAAGAGATAGGTTGCACCAGCACCAGCACCAGCCATTATCAGGAAGGAAGCAAACATCATGAACCACCGATCCATGAGAATAGGTTGCAGTGTAAAACGACACAATCCACATCATTTTCCCGGTGGAGAGTTAGTGGTAATCCTTGTTTCAGCCATCACTATTGAATTAAAATGTGAAAATTCTGAAGATTGAAATATGAATTAAAATTTGTTGATTATTTTTTAGGGTTTTGATAATGAAACCACAATTTATAATTGCTTGAGACAAGATAAGATAGCTCTCTAATTTGATTTTTCTGTTAAAGAATCTAATATCCAGTTGCATATTCTATATTTTTATATTTCTATTATTCAAAAGCTTAAAATCCATATTCTTTATTATACATGGATAAGAATGTTGGAGGAAATAGATGTTTACTAACTTGGTTTGGATAAGGCTTGATAGGAAGGACAATACTAAAAGGAAGAAGTAAGTAAAAGGTAACTTATATTTCTCAACTTCAAGACTTACACACTTGACTTGACTTATTACAAAATGGATGGACTCTTTCCCTTTATATAGGATTTACACGAAACTTTTATACCACACATTTCCTAAAGCCTTCTAGACTTCATATTTTCATGAGGCTTCTAGACCACATATTTGGACTAGATATTTTCCTAAAATATTCTAGATAGAATTTCTAAAACCACACAATCCACTTGACACATTACCATATTTTTTACCACATCTTTTACTTAAATATTTAAATGGATCTTTCTAGAGCATGTTTCTAGAAAGAGATAATTACAGAAAACCAGTTGTTTAGTTTCAAGTTTATGAAAATCAGGTTAAAACTTTATTTAATCAAAAAATCAGGTTTTAATTTCACAATTAATATTAATAATTAAATTATAAAATTAAATTAACCTATATACCCAACCTACTATCTACCCGCACCAAATTCATTTTAAAACCCTAAATCAACTCTCTAACCATTTCTCTCCACACTCTCACCGTCGCCACCTCCATCGCCTGCCACCCGTCTCTTCCCCTCTCACTTCCCCCTCTCCCACTCTGCTGCGAATCACAATAGCGTCAACGCTGCTGCGAATCACAACAGCGTCAATCTCAGCGACGATCGAGAACGTCCGGTGGGTTTCGCAACAGCGTCTGGTGGATTTCGAAGCTACGATTTTGCGGTAGTAAAAAGCTCGGTGTTGGTAGCTGTTGTCGCTTTTTGGTATTGTTGTGCCGGTGGTTGTGGTGGTGTTGCGGCAGTGTTGACAGAGAGTATTTGTGACCAATTAGTTGGTCGATCTGTGACCAATTAATTCGTCCGGTCGTGTGTTCTGCGGGTGGTTAGTTCGTGTTTGTGTGGTGGCGATAAACTTGTATGGATCTGTGGTGGCCGTCCGTGCGATGGTGTTTTGATGGGGTCGACTATATTGGTGGTGTTGTGCAGGGGGCAACGGTGGTGGTTGTTGGTGTTATTGTTGGAGGGT